GAGTGTTGTACACTAACCCTACAGGCACAACTTCTTGGTTGGGCCCACTGGACAGTATGTCCCAGCTCCGAAAGGGATTTGAGGTGATCCTGACCACACAGAATTTCCTTCTCATATGTTCCCCTCTCCTCTCAGATGAAAACAGCAGGCCTCTCTTGGGCACATAAATCTAGCTGAGGCCATTCTAATGCTGAGGTGCTCTCGTGAACTGGAAAGGCCTCAGGACTGGCTTTAAGAGATGGGCTCTGGACTCTGGGTGGGGAATTATCGAGCTGGTTGTAGGGGTCTGTCATAAAACCTCTGCATCTCAGTCTTTTAAGATGTAAATCTAAGTAGGAACACTCACAGGGTCTGCTGTGATGGGGTGACAATACTGGATATGAACAGATTTGACAGAAAAGGCCTGGAAGAACCAATTAATAGCAGCCACTACTATTTACCAAGAGCTTGCTTTGTATCAAGCACTGTGCTAAATTTAGTTTTTAAAGGATTAAATTTTAAAATTTAATTTTTTGAATAGGTAATGCATTCACCAGCTTCAAAATTCAAGAGTGAAAAAGGATACACAGATCCATAACCTTAGGCTAGCTGTGATTCAGAATTTTTCATTTTTTTTAGAATGGTCAGATGAGTATATCTAACATATACTGTATAACACGCCCAAGCAGCACCCTGGACCCAATACCTTAATTTTTCTGCAAAATGAAGGAGTACTCGCAAGTGGAATAAATGAAGATATAAGGAGTTTCATGCCACTTCGGGTCAGGTTCTGCTACCAAACAAGATTTGGCACCAATCTTTTAGAAAAAACTTGGTTTTCAGAGCTCTTTCAATTTCAGAATTATAGATAGGAGATTGTGGATTCATAATAGTAAAAAAATCTCTCTCTTACCCCTGTCCCCCAGCCTACCAGGTCTCCCCACAGACAACTAATGACATCAGTTTCTTGTATGTCCTTCCAAAAATACTCGGCTTATATAAGCAAATATGTATTCCCCCTACTTTAATAGATGGATGTCCTGAGCTCCTTACATACATTATCTTATTTCATCTTTCCAGCAGCCCTCCAAGTACATGAGCTTGTTTGCTCAAGGAAAACAACTGACAGTACATGTTGCCAATGGCAAAATTCAATCGTTCAAAAGAAAATTAGCAATGTAGAAGTCTATATTTACCGCTAGCTTGATGGTTTCCAATATTGATGCTGATGAGTAATATTAATAAATGTAATTTTTTGATGTCATGTAATAAAATGCACCAACATTTAACAGATCTGCACATCTCAGTGAACCAATATTTTCCAAACAACTAATAAATGACTTTCCAATATCATGCATGGGTAAAAGATCCATTCAAAGGTCATGATAGATCAGTAGATTTTAATGTAATAACTCTTAAGCTATCACTTGTCAAATTCTAGTACAATGCAAGATATTCTAGGAGAATATCTATAATTGTTTGAAAAAGCTATTAAACTACTATTCTCTTTCCAATAACCTTTGTTAAGGCTTGAACAAAAACAAAATTATCACCTACAGATTAAAAGCAGAAGAAATGAGAATCGAGCTGTCTTCTATGCCAGATATTAAAGAGATGTGCAATAATGTAAAATGATGTCTCTTCTCACTAATTTCTTCTATTTTAGAAAATATTATTTTCATAAAATTTGTTATTTATGTTAACACATTATGGATTTAAAATATTTTTTAAATGAATGAATGTGTATTTTAAATTTTTTAGCTGTAATTTCTAATATGATAAATATTGATAGCTGTAACTCAAACAAACGAGAGCTCTTTGGAGTTCTCAACAATGTCTGAGAGTGCAAGAGGATTCCTAAGACCAAAATGTTTGAGATCTGCCAGCAAAGGAAATTAACTCAAGGAAAGAAAAAAAAAGTATATACACGTTTATGGTGTACAATTTAAAATGAAAAATTGGACATGCCTGGAATACTCCATTGAGGCTAGGTAAATGAAATGTACCAGTATAATAAAATATCAAATATTTAAAAAGATATGTTTAGCACTTTAGTCAATGAATTATGAAATTTTAAAAAGAAAACGTAGAACATAAAATATTGGGAACATTAAAAAATATGTATAGACTGATTGGGTTTGAAAATAAATTTTGCATGACATAAACAAGAGCTTTATATCTAAGGATTAATTTTTAGCAAAGCTGGTTAAGCATAGGAAAAATTGTTTTTTCAAAAGAGGGAACAGGATTTGGGGCATAGAGTCTCCTGGCTGACTGAGGACAGATGCAGCAAATGGAAATGGATTAGAACTGTCGTGACAACAATGAAAAAAGTTAGGCTTAGATTAAAAAAAAAAAACAAACTTCCCTTATAGATGGGCTGTTTTCAGTCCTGGAGATCTCAGGGGTAGAACAGACCTACTTTTCACCCTCAATTCTTCATCACAATGGAATGTCCTCTCCATTATACCAGCATAAATGAGCAGACCCAGTATCTTTCAAGCTCCAGACACCCATCACCCCACACTTAGAGAAGTCAGTCTCTTTATGCACTAGGGCAGACATACTGACTTCGGTTTGCATTTGGAGATTTCCAGGTAGGGGATAGGCAAGATGTAGGTATGGAAGGTGAGGGGTGAGACACAGGACTGTGTCCTATGGGATGGGGCAGAGGCTGCTGTTTCCTACTCAGAGTACAAGTCAAGCTGCTCAGGGATGAGGTAACACTCTGCAGCACCAGATGGGCCCAGCTGCTGTGCTGCTCTTTCTCTTCTCCCCACCCTAAGGCCCCACCCACAAATAGGGAATTTGAGGGTAAAACAAAAAGGTGAAAGTTTGAGTGCCTGGTTGCTCAGCCACATGGTGGTGGTGGGGCTATAATAAAAGAATTGGTGTCATTACAGACATCTGTGCTACAGAGAAAGGGGGCTGGCAAAGAATGGGGGTAGAGGGAGAAAGGGGCTGCAGTAGAAAGACCTGACAGGCTGTCAACTCTCTAGTGGCTGACAAAAAACCTCCTAAAACATCCTGTCTCCTCTTCCAGCCATCTCATCC